CTAGCACCCACCCTGCACCCGTCCCCCCTCTCTACCGTCCACTCCTTGTTCCCTCCTCTCCATGACTGATGTCAAGTTGTTGTTATTGTTGTTGTTGTTGTTAGCCTCAAGGGCAACATGCCGATTATCACTTGTAAGTCGCTTTGGACAAAAGCGTCTGCTAAATACATAAACATAAACATAATACAATCTATAATCTTAAAAAAAGAGTATTTTAATAAAATGAAAATGTTATCTTAAGTTTCGATCTTGCTTTATGCTCCTTCAGGCTGTTGTTGCCTCTGCTGAATCAGAAATTCTGTGTCAATTTTCTGAGTGTGATCTTATTGTTTTGCTATTTGAACATTAATGAAAATATTTAAAAATAAAAATTAATAAAACCAGCAACACTTACCAAGGAAACCATTTAGCATTCTCCACTCCGGGATAATCTTCAGTTTTCCAGCATCACAGGCCTCAGTCACAGCAGAAACACGTCTAAAGAAATGTTCCTTGGTTAAGCTTCAGTTTGTGTCTCCAGATTTCCTCATTCAGATTTCGTGTCATCAGTCTGGTACCACTAGGCAAGATCAGATGGGTAGCTTGTTAACACCCTTTCTGGGTCTAGAGGCTCCTGTAAGACTATATTGGGCTCACTTCTGGCTGGCTGCTGTTCTTCCAGTTCATCCTTCTGTGACGGCGTTGGCGCTACAGCGTCTTCGGGCCGTGTCTCCTCCGGGTCTGGCTTGGGCCCGGTGTCGGTACAGGATCTGCTCGGGAGCAAGATCGGCTCGGGGTCCTTCGACTGCCGATGACGTCAAAGTACGGCAAACCCACTCGGACAAAATACACTACACATCTATACTGTTGGAAAGAATTTAGCAGTTTCGTTATTAAAATAATGTTTCTTAAGACGTAAGTTTGTATTTATAATGGTATTTGTAAAATAAAACACTATGTTGTATTCATAATGTTGAACTCCTCTTTGAGCACATCCCTTGAAGGATCTTAGGTATTAGCAACACCTGTGAAATTGTATTTACAGGAAAGAAGTGTGTCCCGTTTATTGAAGTATTTTGTGTTTAGAGTTTTTGACGTCTTGTCCATGCGTAGTTCAGGTACGCTCATAGCTGCTAGCCAAAACTCTGGAGTTAAAAGTTTTCTGGCTTTACTAAAATACCTGTCTGTACTTATTTGATTGATGGTAGTTTTACTTTCTGTTAGACTCCAAATGTAATCATTTGGCACGTTTCTACTTCATAATTTGTAATAATGTAATCGGTGATATTAGCATTAGCATTCCTATGGGTTTTTCCACGTATATTAACATTGCGCTAACCACTCGCTGCCAAATTGCAGCCTTTGTGATTAGAAAATCTCCTTTTGTCACATCGCAATTTAATTGCACATGCAGTTAATCGTTCAGCCCTAATATACATGCAGCTCTATGCCAAAAGTGTATTTTCAAAGAGGTAATGATGGATTTCTTTGTAAAAGTTGTCCATCTTTCCAACAGAAAGATTTGCCTGGACCAACGTAACGTGATTACGTAATTCTGTAAGGTTCATGTTCAGCCAATCAACTACTTAGACGTCACTGGCAGTCGACGGACCCCGAGCCGATCATGCACCCGAGCAGATCTTGTCCCGACACCGGCCTCTGGCTCTGCTGACTCGAGCAGGTTCACAGCTGTCGGACGGCTGCCCGAGCAGCCCGACAGAAACTTCTGTAAAGCCTCCAGCTGTCTCTTCTTTTGTTCCTCTTCATTTTTTTTTATGTTTTGCCGCACCCAAAAGCATCGTGAAAGTTAGCCCACTCAAAAACACCTGCTAGCTTTGTAGTGTCCCGTTCTGACTCTGACCGCTTCTCTGACGTCCTTCATTGGGTGGCGCCTTAATGTGACGTAGCCAATGAAACGGTCTATGGTTACGATAAACGTTGTCACTATTTTTAGTTAATTAATAAATAATGAAATGAATTGTAGATAGGAGTCCTATCTACAAATTCTATCATAGAACATTTGTACATTTAATTTTTAATTTATTTATTTTTAATTTTGTTCCTCTGTCTGGGCCCCATCCAGCCAATCAGGCCCTAGGCACGTGCCTACTTTGCCTTTGCGTTAATCCGGCTCCCTGGTGAGGTTTTCCAGGAGACCTAAAGGAAGACCCAGGACATACTGGAGGGACTGTGTGTCTCACCTGGCCAGGGGGACGCCCCGGAGGACCTGGCCCAAGAGGCTAGAGAGAGGGAAGTCTGGGCCTCCCTGCTTTGGCTGCTGCGCCCGTGATCCCCAACCCCAGATAAGCGGGAGAAAGTGAATGGATGTGTGGATGACAAGGTGTTTCTTAATGAGCTCCTTTGTGTCATCAGTTGACCTGGAAACAAAAATGTAGAGACATGCAAGAGCAACATGTGGCAGAAACAAAAACAGATCAATAAAGTTTATTCAGGAAGGATCAGCCTTTGGAGACACAGTCGGAAGTGGGTTCAACTATTCAAACATCATCCGTCTCCCTGCACCTTAACTCGCGTAAAGGCAGCAAGCAACAGAAAATGTAAAATAATTTTAAATCCTCTCTCCATAAGCTGCATTCACACATGCTAATCCTAACATCCCATCACAGATTTACTCTGAACCCATCCTACAGATTAAAGAGAAAGCACTTTCCTCCTCAGGATTAGCATTTGGGCTAATCATGGACAAGGAGATCTATAATTCAGAACAATGCCGACAGCGCGTGCAGACTGGATACTGACAGAGAGGACTGGCTGTAATGATGGTGAGAGGGTGAAGATGAAGAGGATTAATCATGTGTTCATTCTAATAATTCAATAAGTCGACCTGCTGACCCGAGTCTGAACTCTGTGTTAAATCAGAGATCTGCATCCAAAACATTCAGATTCAAAGATGACAGATATATTATTGTTTTATTATAATAATAATAATAATAATAATAATAATAATAATAATAATAATAATAATAATAATAATAATAATAATAACATGAATGTAAAATGATGATGCTGCTTTTCCTGGAGATGTTTTCTAAATATAGTTGTTTATTGTTGGTAGATGGAATTATTTACATTAATCTGATTGCATTTGTTGTTTGGGTTTCTTTTGGGGGGGGGGGGGGGGGGGTCCTTCTCAGTAACAAAAAAGTGCTGCAGTAACATCCTACAGCCACAGGGGGAGACACAGAGCAGAAAAAAACAATCTCAAATGTTGCTTTAATAAGATGCTGAGGCTCATTTTAAACGTGTTTTCATTAAAAAGCTGACTCAGCTCTGGACTTGTGATGTGGATAAAATGAATCTAGCTCTAGGATTTGCAAGTAAAAACCTGTGAAACCCGATGCTTCCTCCACAAAGCTGCTGAGAGACTGTGTTTGCTCGGATCTGCCGCTCTGAGACCAAATGGAGGAGCAATAAAGGCTTCAGGGGAATTTCAGCTGGAAACTTTGGAACCGCTCAATGAGATGTTTTACCTCGACACCCAAAAGTCTGGCGGGTCATGTTATTAGTCTTCCAGCCTTCTAAACAAAAGAAAAGTGCTCGCTGGACTTAAACGTTGTCAGATCAAAACCTGGCCTGAAGAAGCTGCGAGAAATCAAAACAACAGCAGAGCTGATGGCTCACAGCAGGCTCAGCTGATCTAATCCTGTTTCACCGACTGTGTGCATCACATGGAGATTTTAATGTGTCTATTACATATTTATGAAACTGATTGCTGGATAATGCGCAACGACAAAGCTGGCAGGCAATCATCTTGCCTTTCAAACTATAGAGGAAAAGATTCTTGGAATAAAAACTGCAGAGTTCAGCTCTTACAACTACTAAACGTCTCATTTGAAGTCTGGTGTTGATCATTTTAACAAATATATGTTTTTGCATCTGCAGATTCTTAATGGACCTTCTTAACTGTATCCTGATTTTACCCGTTCTCCCTCATGAGTCTCGGTGATTCCTCTCAGATCTCACTCCCAGTGCTATCCTCTGGTCAAGGGGATAAAAACGAACAAATCCTGGTACATCTGCATTGATCCCACTGATTGTTTAAGAGCCAAGCCCACAGAGGTACGGCAGCACCGCAGAGATAAAGCCACATCTCAAGAGCTGAAGCTTTTATCTTTGATCTGTCTTTATTGGATTTTTTGCAAAACAAAAGTTGCCGAGTGACCTGACTTTTTGATTGCACGCTGGGAGAAAATACCTATTTTTAGTTTACTGGTCTGATAGAAAAACATTGTTTTAGCTAAAGGAGACCTGAAGTTCAGATGTCGTTTGTGAACTATAGGAAGAGTGTGCAGCAGCAGCTGCGTTCATGTTTAATATTACTTGTGTTAAAACTGGATCACTTCAGATTTTTGAATGCAGAATGTCACCCTGCAGAAAGAAAATGTGTGATTTACTATTTATTTTTTTAGCTCACTGATGACACAGTGGACTTAAAAATAAAGAAATTACAAAGGTCTGAGGGTTTACAGAGTCGTGGTCTGAGCAGGACGGCTGCAGTTGGGCGGGTTTTCTCTCTGAGCAGAGCTTTGGGTGTGTCTGACAGGCAGCCAGCACAGAAAGTGAAAACCAGGCCACAGGCCTGGAAACATCTGTCCCCACCATCAGTGTGCGAGCACACTGCCTCCTACTGGAGGCAACAGGAAGTACTCACAGAGGTGCGTACATCTGATTACAAACAACACTTTAATCACTGCGAATAAGTATGAAGATAATAATTGTAATAACAATTGGGTCTTTTTTATTAACATATGCCTTCACATGATATTTTTCCTCTTGTGTTTTATGTCCTGTCTTGTCTTTGTGTTTGTTTGCGGTGAGAAACGTTACGTTCCCTTCGTGTGACAAGTGCTTGTGAAGGACAGAGATGCATGTTTAAATACGATGATTCGGTTTTAATCTATCAACTGTCTGTTCATGTGCAACATGTAATTTGATTAAAATAACATTTCTGCCAAACTATGCACATTTACTCCCATTAAAAAGGAACAAAACCATAAATAGATCAAATAGCAGCTTTAATCAATAGATGTTCATAATTCTGTGTAAGTTTCTTTAATTTACCTTAGTTAATATACCCCCCACAGACAAGACAGTGCCCATGTTAATATTTGATTTATGTAGGTTTAATTAAGATTAAACTCTTTTTTTAAGAGACTTTAATCCCGGTTCTTGAATGCCACCATCCAGCCCTCTCCAGGTGTTTCCTTGATTCAGTTGATGCCTCCATAGCATGTCCTCAAGGGCTTGTAAATACCTGTTAATCACCTGTTGGTGTGAGTCAGGCGTGCTGGAGGAGGGAAACGACACACACATGCAGGATAGTGATCCTAGACGGCCAGACTCAGATTCCACTGCCTTAAATTACTAAACGAGACGCGAGTTAGCAACAGCAACACTCACAGCCAGGTGCTTCAGAGTAACGTGCCTTTCAAAATGAATAAAAATATATGATTTGGATGTCTTTACTATTTTCTTCTTGTGACAGATTTACTAGAACATCCCATCTTACATGATTTCTATGTCTGCCGTCAGGCTATTTTCAGGTTTCCTGGCTCTAAAGCGGTGGAGGAGGAAGAGCAGAGGCCCCAGCACAGAACCCTGAGGGACACTTTAGTTGTTTTAGTTACCCGACCTTAATCAGCAGGCCATAATCAGAGCTTGATGACCTGTTGAATAGGTGATTGAAGCTCTGAACACTGAATCGGGTGAGCTGGAGCAGAGAAACAACTAAAACATGCTGGGCACTTGTTCAGATACCAGTGAACTAAACATGTCGTTATTTTTAATGATAATGATGGAGCTGTTTGATTCGTTATGGTGAATTTTTTAATCTGTTTTTGTGTGTTTTGCCACTGCAGCTGCAGAAGGATCGAACCTCTGCTGAAGCACCCGAGCCTCTCTGCTGGATCGAGTCTTCTGTCATCTCCCACGTTAAAAACATTCATTTCATCACATCAAGGAAAAAAACACTTCATTTAAGAAACTATGGCCTGTATTTACACTTAATATTGTTTCCTTAGGAAGAATGTAAAAAAAATAAATGATTTATTGAACTTGCAGGTGCTTGTGTGCATTAGCTCTCGCGCGCCCCCTGCTGGTGAATAAGCTTTACTGCAAAGTTCTGATTAAACTGGTTTTGGATTCATTGAAAAACGAGTTATTTTCAGCATTAAGGTTTAAGTTACTTGGTAATAAAACGTGATTTAGCTAGCTTTAGCTAACTGCTTGTTAAAATACAACTGACTTTCTAATGTTTGCCTGCAGAGATGGCTACGTCAGCAAATCAGAAGAAGGCCTGATAGGCCAGGAGGTACGCATCGTTGTACATGTAAATCTGCCTGTTGGTGGGGTTGTAGCTCAGACTGGCCACTCCTTTAGCTACTTTCTCCAGCGCCAGCGCCAGTGAGTTGGTTTCCTTCCCTGTGGCTGTGTCGAAGGCGTAGAACACTTCCTCTTTGTAGTCGTCCACATAGCGGGTGGCGTACAGCACGCCACACACCATGAACGCGTTGGTCACCGCCTTCTTGAACACCCTGGTCTCCCACGTTTGGGACACATTGAGAGTCTGATGTTTGTCCTCCCAAACTAACCGGCTCACCACCAGATTACCATGGTTACCGACGGTGGCGTAGATCGCCCACAGTCCGGTCTCATCCGCCTCCAGGTCCACGTCGCTGTGGGAGCGGCAGTCGTAATAACAGTAAGGGAACTTGTTGTTGAAGCCCACGCCGTTGCCTGGAAGCGTCACCCTTTTGACGCCGTTTGTCTTCAGGTCATAGCGGCAGACGTCTGCAGAGCGGTAGCAGTGATAGTACAGAGCCTCACCGTGCAAGACAGCACTCGGCCCCTCAATGGTGTTAGGGTGAGTGTAAGAGGGAGCAAAAGTGAAGTCTCTGTGGTTGGTGGAGGCCATGAAGTTCTCATAGCTCTGGTAAACGCGGAGCACGTTTCCGTGGATGTGGCCGTTGACCAAAGGCTGGACCCAGTAACTGTGCTGCTGCTCCTCGCTGTTCGTCTGCGCCTGTTTCCCCCAAGAACCAGAGAGGTAGCTCTTCCCGTAGGGACTGATCTTAGTGGTCACAGGGCTGCTGATGCTGGTGATCAGACCCTTTAGGCAGTACGTGTGCTGGCCTGAAACAGGAAAGAATGTTTTTGACTATTATCTTGAAATACTTCCTACATTTAGACTGGGTGAGAAAATAAGTAAGAATTCAGCAAAATGCCAAAAATCCAAGCTTCTGAAAACCCGGTGAGATGTCCTTCATGACCACTTAAGAACGTTGTGAGAAGATTTCACTATTTGTCACAAAATTCACACGCGACTCACCTCTGAAGTCTTTGGGGATTGTCTTGCAGGACTCCACGCTGTTCTTCAGGGACCGCAGACTGTTTTTTACTGACTTCATGTTAACCGAGTCAGATATTTGCATCCTTTCTACTTTACTGCGCAGGTTACCCACCTGTCACAGACAAACACACGCGTGCTAAAAAAAGGTACGAACCACGAATGAAATGGGATTTTCTGTAGCCTGTACCTCTTTGGAGAGTTTCTGTGTCTGGGCGTTGTTTAGCTGGTTGTGGACCGCACCAACATCTGCCTCCAGCTGGCTGAGCTCCTGGCCCAGCAGACGCAGAGACAACGCTGTGTACAGACCCTGGTGGCGGAGGTACTGATACGGCTTCAGACGAGCGGTCACGTTCTCAACTTTAGTCTGAATCTGAGGAAGGCGCTTGCTGGAAAGCTCCACCTGCAAGGAAACACGTCTTCAGAAATGATGGCGTGCTGTCATGTGATGATAGGACGGAGCTGCATGGTGGCGGTTGTCTTCAGGTAAGAAGGTCGAAGATCCAGTGCAGTTGATGACTTTCTGTATGTTTGCACGCACTTTTCATGCACGTACTGTCAAGATCCTGTTCCTGCAGTGACCTGTTGCCACAGCAACCTCAGCCCGCACCTCATCAGCTCCATTCATCCCACCTGTTCCTGTCATCAACTCATCCTCCACACCTGTTTCCTCTGCTGTTTAAACCCCAGCCTGCTCTCCAACCATCGCCAGATTATTGAACGCTCTACTAGTAAATTCTCCAGCCTGTTACTCACCCTGCCATCGAAGATCCAGAACCCTGCTCCGTCCCCGACTTCACCTTTTGGATCTCCCTGTTGGACTATTCCCACCTCAGACCTCCTGGTAACGACCTTCTGTCTCCTGACCTTTGCCTCTCCCCTTTTAATAAACATTCTTAAACGTGTCATTCTGTGTTGGGTGTTTTTACGGGTCCGCCAGTTAACTCATGACAAGTTCGAGTTTTTAAAACCATGCAAACGTGGTTAGGTGACGTCAGCGGGTACTAGTTGTGTGTGTAAATGTTTTAGTCTTTATGTGGCCCTCTGGGTGTTCCTTGCCTCTCACACCAGCTGCAAATGTGGCCTGGATAGATTAAGAATATGGACGAGTTTAAATCCGTTCCAACACCACAGCCACAGTTAGCTGAAAGACATAAGAAAGAGTGGAATTTAAATGCTCTGATGCATTTAGGAGTCCCCACCTGTTCCTGCAGGCTGCTCAGAGATCCCTCACAGTGCTGAACCTGCTGCAGCACAGCCTCGTACTCAAGAGCAGGAAAAGACCACATGGTGGAGTTTACTTCACACTGGCACGAGTCGTCCTTCTTCAGGCCGAGCACGCGCTGAGCCCGGCCCTCCTGCAGAAACACACAGTTGCACTGTAATCGTACAAGCTCTAAAACGTCCCCATTCATCCATAAAAATAGAAAGTTAAACGAATGCTGGTGTCCTCTGCCTTCTTTCCCACTTGTGGTGTTTTAGTGAAACTCACCGTTGATGTGAGCAGCAGCGGCAGCAGGAGCAGCAGCATGATTGCAGCAGGACGCGTTAATACTGAACATCTCCGTCTTCTCCTGCCTCTGAAATATGAAAAACATTTCTGCTGATTCAGGAGTCGCAGCCAAACCGCAGCCTATTTCACGTGGTTGTGAAACTCCACACAAGAGAAATCGTGGAGTTTCACAACCATCTTCATTCCCGTTTTCATTTATGCAAGAGTTTCTGTTTCGTTGCACGAGAACGTCTCGCTGCTTCACAAAACAAGTTTTAAAAATCCCCAAAACTCTATAATCAATATTCATAGTTTAACTTGGAGAAAACGTCTCGGTGATGACTGAAATGGTTCCTGATGCTGCACTGTAAACCCAAATAAGTTCCCAGAACTCAAAATTTTTGAGTTTTGAAACAGAAAACTTTAAGTTTTCATAAATTAAATTTCTTAATAAATTGACTCACACATTTTAAGTTTAATTAAATTAAAATTGCTCATCAAGGCAACTCAAAGTTGACAATTCCAGGAGATCTGCTGAACGTCTGCATGCAAAAGCAAGACGATTTTAACAGTTTATATGAGATGTTTGTGTTAAATGAATGGACAACCCATCTTTGGGACACGTACCTTCTTATTCTCCCATTTTCTGTTCCTGCTTAATTGTTGAACAAAGATTTTCGATTCCTCCAGACCTGTCTCCGTTGGTGTCGCGTAACCGAAAAGGTGAGATGCTGGTTACTTGTTATCCCACTCCGAGAGGTTTACTCCAGTCAGATTAGAGTCATTAACCTGAGCAATACATGAGCTGCAGGTGACTAAGATGTTTGGGTTTGAACCGAGTCGTCCTTTGAGCTGCAAGCAGTGTGTTTGCCGAGATGAAAGTCTAGGTTAATGGTGATCATTCAAAAATCAGTCAGATCAACATTTCATATTTATATGGAGGATCGCATCTTGTTGGTCATTTTTAATAAATGTGTAGTCAATCATCAACACGACGCTTGTACAACACCACCTTATCAAGTGAAAAAAGTCAAAGCTTTATACACATTTCAGACACAGAGGAAATTCCATGCATTTTCCATTAGAGGGAATAGCAAGAACATTAAAATCAACGTGACAACCCAATAAAAATACACAAATACATTCAGACCAAAATAAATTCAGATTTAAGAATCAGGAAAAAGACAAAGATGGAGCAGTTACAGTGCAGAAGGTGCAGCATAAGAACGTTGGATGGATGGATGGATGGATGGATGGGCAGAAGGTGCAGCATAAGAACGTTGGATGGATGGATGGATGGATGGATGGGCAGAAGGTGCAGCATAAGAACGTTGGATGGATGGATGGATGGATGGATGGATGGATGGATGGGCAGAAGGTGCAGCATAAGAACGTTGGATGGATGGATGGATGGATGGATGGATGGATGGATGGGCAGAAGGTGCAGCATAAGAACGTTGGATGGATGGATGGGCAGAAGGTGCAGCATAAGAACGTTGGATGGATGGATGGGCAGAAGGTTCAGCATAAGAACGTTGGATGGATGGATGGATGGATGGATGGGCAGAAGGTACAGCATAAGAACGTTGGATGGATGGATGGATGGATGGGCAGAAGGTGCAGCATAAGAACGTTGGATGGATGGATGGATGGATGGATGGATGGATGGATGGATGGATGGATGGATGGGCAGAAGGTGCACCATAAGAAAGTTGTATGGATGGATGGATGGATGGATGGATGGATGGGCAGAAGGTGCAGCATAAGAACGTTGGATGGATGGATGGATGGGCAGAGGGTGCAGCATAAGAACGTTGGATGGATGGATGGATGGATGGATGGATGGATGGATGGATGGGCAGAGGGTGCAGCATAAGAACGTTGGATGGATGGATGGATGGATGGGAAGAAGGTGCAGCATAAGAATGATGGATGGATGGATGGATGGATGGATGGATGGATGGATGGATGGATGGATGGGCAGAAGGTGCAGCATAAGAACGTTGGATGGATGGATGGATGGGCATAGGGTGCAGCATAAGAACGTTGGATGGATGGATGGATGGATGGATGGATGGATGGATGGGCAGAAGGTGCAGCATAAGAACGTTGGATGGATGGATGGGCAGAAGGTGCACCATAAGAAAGTTGTATGGATGGATGGATGGATGGATGGATGGATGGGCAGAAGGTGCAGCATAAGAACGTTGGATGGATGGATGGATGGGCAGAGGGTGCAGCATAAGAACGTTGGATGGATGGATGGATGGATGGATGGATGGATGGGCAGAGGGTGCAGCATAAGAACGTTGGATGGATGGATGGATGGGCAGAAGGTGCAGCATAAGAACGTTGGATGGATGGATGGATGGATGGGCAGAGGGTGCAGCATAAGAACGTTGGATGGATGGATGGATGGATGGGCAGAGGGTGCAGCATAAGAACGTTGGATGGATGGATGGATGGGCAGAGGGTGCAGCATAAGAACGTTGGATGGATGGATGGATGGATGGGCGGAGGGTGCAGCATAAGAACGTTGGATGGATGGATGGATGGATGGGCAGAGGGTGCAGCATAAGAACGTTGGATGGATGGATGGATGGGCAGAGGGTGCAGCATAAGAACGTTGGATGGATGGATGGATGGATGGAGATGGGGCACATTTGAGGTCAAGAGGAAGCTGATTGTGTGCAGCATAGTAGCTAAAAGCAGCTTCGCCCTGTTTGGTTCTGACCCGGTTCTACCAGCTGACTGTTTTCCCTGCCGGGCTACATACCTGAAGGAGATCCAACTTGTATTCTGTCCCCGTGCCACTGAGTGATTTATAAACTAGAAGCACTTTCAAATCCGTTTTTTCCAATTATTCTAATATTTTTACTGTTGTTATTTTTATTGCACCATCACCTCCCGTCGGACAACCGTGACAAAGAAAACAAACAACATTTTCTCCAAATAAATGTGAAACTTTTCCAGAATGTTTTCTGATGGAAAATATAAAAAAGTTGCAGTTTGTTTCTTCTAACATGTTTTTGCAGCCCCTTCCTAAATTAAGGTATACCCTCGTGGGGGCTTTGGCTAAAGTTAAAGTCCCATTAGTCACCCCACACTGCTGGCGAAATTCATCTCCACGTTTGACCCGTCCCCGTGGGGAGCGGTGAGCTGCAGCCGCGGCCGCGCTCGAGAACTATTTGGAGGTTTAATTCCCCCAATTCACCCCTTCAAAGCTGAGTGTCAAGCAGGGAGGCGTTGATTCCCATGTTTTAAAGTCTTCGGTATAACCCGACCATCTCCCAGGCCCAGGGCGGACTCTACTACCAGGCACTGAGAAGGTGGCTTGCAGAGTTTGAGGAACAGGATTTTCCCAAGCACTCGCATTTATCATCTTTCTTTCTGATTGAGCAACGTCGGAAAAACAAGTGGGTTTTTGCACATTCAGCCCCTGCTGGGGCCTCTCAAATGTCAATCCAGCCCATGACTTATGAGAATTTTCTCTTAACCAAGTAGTAAAAAGAAAAAAACCCATATCACCGCATGGAGGAAGTGATTCTCGACTCGTGTGCAGATCCACTTATTCCCACGCAGATGCTCGTGGGTGTGTTTTAATCGCTGCTGCTGACAAAATCAGACGGTGAAGAGACAGCCGACGCAGATCTGCTCCATCATGAAGCTCTACGTGATCGTTCCTCTGTGGGCTCTGATCACCGCCACCCAGCAGGTAAGATACTCGGAGTAAAAATATGAGCAACTTTTACTTTTTAAAAGAAAACAAAGATTTGTTTTAATGTTTCATTTTAGGCACCGGCACAAGAAAACTGTCAGTGCGAGTTCATCAGCTCAGAGAAAATCTTTCCTCATGACAAACTACGGTCAGTTCAGAGCAGCGTCTCAGACTGCAACAGCAACGTAACTCCACAGATGGTAAGTCGATCTGTGAGTCTTTCATACCGGGAATCATCCTCTGAGTCCAGAGGGAATCACGTTCCTGATGTCCCTGCAGACCTTCGGGATGGAGAGCCTGCTGCTGGGTTTAGATCGGCGTCTGCCTCAGCTGGAGGAGGACGTGGCGATGCTGGAGGAGGAGAACGATGGAGAGATGTACGGAGTTCTGAGTCTGTACGTGATAGAGAACGAGCTCACCGAGATCTTGCAGCTGATAGATCAGCTCAACAGCACCAGCCTCAAACACAAGCGCCTCATCGCAGACGTCACTCAGAAGGTAGGCACTGATGTGGTCATCGCGATTGCTTTGGGTTCAGCCCTGCTGTAATCTTCTATATTAAATGTTATTAAACGTTTTGGACCATTGACTAAAAACCGGAAAATCGATCACTGGAGAAGAGGATGAATTGGATTTTTCACGACATGCCCGTCCAGTTCTACTGCACCTGGTTGCTTCCTTTCTTCATTTTCCACCTGGAGATGCAAAGATGAGCATCTCCAAACGTGCACCGAAACAGAAAGACTGGCAGTGCAGACAGAAGCACAGATGTACTGCAAACCCCTCAGTTGTCTTCCTTAGTTTTAAAATCAACATTGAGGCTTCTTTGTGTTCTCTAATGTTGTAATTTAGTCGTGCTTTACCCAGTTCACGAATGGGAGGGTCATCCATCTCTGTCTCTATAATGATCACTGACCTGACTACTTTGTCTCAGCTGGAGGAAGTTAAAGATGAGATGGAGGAACTGGAACGGTTCGACACCATGCAGGTGGTGAAGGGACAACAAACCAACCAACGTCTGAAGAGAGACCTGGACCAGTGCAGGAACAACGTTCTCCATCCCATCCCTCAACCCACTCAGCCTAAGAGTTAGTTTCAAATCACGTGTTGTTGCCCAGTTAGCCCAACTGGAAGAAAATGGGCTAGCTGATCTTGTTTTCCTCTTTGATGTTTACATGACCCAAATTCCCAGGTTTGTGTCCCTTTGGCCGGTTTCTGAACATCAGCGAGCCGAGGGTCTTCACAGCCGGAGAGTATCCTGGTTCATACAAGTATGGAGCCTGGGGTCGCGATCCTAATCCAGAGGTGGGGAAGGAGGACTGGCATTGGCTAGTTCCGATGACTTCCGCCAACAGACTCGCCAACTACGTCCGTCTCTACTCCACCCTGAGCTCTTTAATTGTTGGAGTGAGCACCCCAGGTCAGCTCTAAGTGTTTGTCTTTGTTTGTTTTGGAAGAGGCAGACAGACACTGAGAAACGCTTGACTAAAACTTTGCGGTAAATATCTCATGAACCACCGTAGAGATTCGGATGAAATCTACAACCAATTGGAGCCAGTCTGAACAAAGATGGCCACATCCAAACTAAAACTGTCATTTCTCAGCTTGGTGTTTCTGTTTGTCTCAGGTAATGTCCTGATCCATCCCTCCAACCCAACCACCAACACCATCCAGGGTCCCAATAATGTTCTGTATGGAGGGGCCTTGTACTACAACTGTTACAACCAAGACACTGTTTGTCGATTCAACATGACCACCAAAACCATCACCACAGTACAGCTACCCAAAGGCACCAGGTGGGTGTAACGCTCCCCTAAAACCATCAAGCTCAATAAAGAAACGTATGCTACTGATGCTTTTTCCCCCCCAGGTATAACTCAAAGGGTAATTTCTGCCACCTTGATGAATGCTACCCATTCACCGACCTGGACTTGGCCACCGACGAGTCTGGCGTCTGGGTGATCTACACCACCACTCAGGACTTTGGAAACCTGGTTCTGACCAAGGTGGAGGAGGGTGCGCCGCCGGCGCTCAGTCAAACCTGGAAAACGAAAGTCTACAAGCAGAGTGTAACCAACACCTTCATGGCCTGTGGCGTCCTTTACGCGACGCGCTACGTTGACAAACTCACCGAGGAGATCTTTTATTCGTTCGATACCTCAACAGGAGAAGAGAACTTTAATCTTGGTATCTTCATGAAGAAGATGTCTCCAAATGTCCTTTCTTTAAACTACAGTCCAGTGGATCACATGCTACACGCGTACTGCGACTCCTTCATGGTCTCTTATAAGGTTTTGTTTGAGAACCCGAGTGACGATTTTCTTTAAAAACCTGTTAATAGTCCTGCTGTCAGTAAACGGCACAGAAAGCAATAACCTGATGGTTACGTTTAAATTAGGGATGGTCAGTATTGGCGTGACGTTGTATTATTGGTTAGGGTTGGTTAATATACTCTTGTAATGGCACATTTGATAGATCTGAGGTTTAGTTTGTGAGGTTTCTACGTTAGTTTGGCATAACTTGTGATAAGGAGAAATTAGCCGTGTGTTTGTCAGAGTTATGACATAAAAGTGTGAGTCAGCTGCTGTTGGAGACTTTCTTCCATTATATTACTCAAAGTGGTTGAACCCTCGGTTAATCAGTACATTTGCAGTAGCGAGTGAATGCCTTGTAAGTTATACTCGGGGGAGAAAAAACCCTTTAAGCGCCTGTATCACCCCGGAGGAGTCAGCTAGAGTAGAAAGCAGCAGAACACGACAGGAGTTGGAGTCTTATTTCCTGATATTTGGACATCTCTCCTCTGATTGGCTAACAGCAACTCAACTCTACCACTGACTCTGTTTGCTCCGCAACACCGATTTTTAATCTCCACAAATAACACAAGCCTGGAGGAGTTCTGCTGTGTGGTGGAGTTGCTAATGTTAACAGTTAGCTTCTACTAGCATCCGTCTGTTTTCTGTCAGAAGCTAATGCAGGAGATAGGTGTAGGAGACTATTTTCATGTTCAGCCTGCATGAAAAACTCAGTGACTCTTTGTAATCATGACTAATTATTAAAATATGATTTTTCAGCGTTCCGCACCTATGAATTTAAAGAGCTGTCATATTTTTCACAGATAAAACTTTAAGCTTAAGTATGCTAGCAGGACATACATACGATGCCATTTACCTAAAATGATTACGCTTTTCTTTTCGAAAGGAGACCCTGCATAAATCAGTATTGGTTAAAAACCGACGTCGAACATCCTTTGTTTAAATTTGTAGCGTAGACAATCTACATACTAGAATTAACGCTGTTTGCTAACAGCTTTGTTAGATTCTGAGAAAAGATCAGACACATTAGCATATGAACTTCTATCGATTGTATAAATATCCAGGATATTTATACAATCGATAGAAGTTCATACACCAACTGCCTTGGTCTATATTTTAATCCAAAGATTAATTTTTAATTTAAGAGAATTAAATTTAATAGCAAAAGATTATTTATTAAACAGAAGACTTAATGGAATCTTTGCTTATTCAATAACCAAATATACACCTTTCTGTGTTTCATTTCAAAGAAGAGTCAGGTTTAAAAAGTTAAGAATTTATTACTAACAATTTTAAAGATGACAATTTAAAAATGACAATTTAAAGAAATGACCATTTATAACAGCTTTGATATTAAAACTTGGTATTTAAAGCAAACCTGTGTCTGAATGGAAACTAAAATGAAATGCGATGTTTGGATGCGTGGATGGATCTCAGAAGATTTCTTTCAGAGACAGAAACGCGTTCTGGGTGAAACGTTGTTTTGCAGCTAACTGAGTGGTTTCTTAGAGAGAACAGCATACAGACGCCATCTGTCGGAAGTGTCTACCTCACCCAGTCAGGAGACCCTCTGTGGATCCGAGATGTCAGGTGGAGATGATGTCCTCCGGGCACGAGATGGGTAGAGGAACCTTGGTGCGACCAAATCGGTCCTGAGATGTCTCCGGGTCACAACGGCGTCTCAAAATCAATAACTCTGAAGGAGTTTTGGTCAGCTGGTTACAGGTGGCGTTTATTCGGAGCGATTCTATCGGCGTGACAGAACAGCTTCTTGAGGCTCGGGCGGCCGACCCTCGTCCTCTGGTTGGTTCAAGAACTGGACTTGAGCTGCGGAGATTTTGGTTTTAACAAAACCTCAGAACACGCCCTCTTAGCGTCAGGAAGCTTGTTGTTATGGAGCAAAGACATGAGAGCAAGTTAACTTTACCCTGAATCAGTCCTGCATGAGGTGCACACGTGCAAATGACCTTCCTCACACTGTTAAACATCACTGATCATCATAAATAATAAGTATTATTAACCCAAAGAATAATAAGTCATTTCAGTAATTAAATACATTTATAATGAACCACGATGATTATTATATGATTGTAATAAACAGTAAAAACAGTTTATTAAAATTATATTTTAAAATCTTGAAGTGTCCTTCATCTTGCGACGGAACAGCAGATAAAGATGTTTTCAGCAGACTGTCGTCTCCGGTGATGGATCATCTGTGGGACAAAGTACAGCTCGACCCAGCCGGAGAAGTGTGACCTTTGGGTCACAAATATGAGGCCGTTCACGTCACTAGAAATTACAGTTGCCGTTTTTATAATCTTTCCCCAATAAAGTCATTAGCTTCTGCTTTCTTTTAGTGAATTTTTGTTCATTTTTCACGTTTAACGGAAAAGCGACCAAACACAAATGACGCTTGTGAGGGTTAGAAACGTGCACCAATCAGATCCGGTGTTCACGGTTTCACCGTGAACGAATAAAACATAAAAAAGACATAAAATGATTTGACGCGTGACCTCTGAAATTCTGACATTAACACTTTATTTCTTACTTGTTAAATGATCAGTACACAGACAGTGACGGCTAACTTTGTATTTATATAGTTTATATATATATATATATATTATATTTAAATTTTACAATACACGTCCGAATGACAATGAAGCGGGTAAGAGTCTTTCTACAGTTTGAGTAGAAACAAGCTAACAGGGAAGACTCCCACAATATAAAACAAGAACAAAAGAACTTATTGCTTCATACAAATGAACTATGACGGCAGTAAGAAGTGTAAGTGTAGTAGTAGTAACACATTTATCAAGTTTATTATACCAAGATGATGTTCCACCCTACCTATAAAAAACTCAGGGAAGAGAAACAAAAACATGATTTCTCACGTTACAGCAGTACCGGTGTTTGTCACTGGTGACCTGCTCTATAAAGTATCTACAAAAGCAAGGAGGCCCAAGGTCCTTACAAACGGATCCAGCGCCAGCTCGCCGGAGCTGGATTAAACGTTAGAGATGTGGGGGTCAAAGGTAAAAAGTACTACCCAGAGTGAGAACGAGGTGTAGGTCGACAATACTGTACAGCACTTCAAAAAGGGACAAGATACATTCAGGAGCCCCCCCCCCCCCCCCCCCCCCCCCCCAGGCAGTGCGGATAGACGTTGCAGGAGGAAACCGGAGTGTAGATGGCAGCAGATAGCTCAGTAAAGAGAGGAAACACAGAAAAGTGATGGTGCACAAACTCCGCCACATGCAAATGGTGGTGAAAGTGATGGTGAGGCGTTTGATCTCGTCTTCTCCCTCTTCAGAACGTTCAGCTCGTTTCATTATTTTAAACACAAGAACAACGATTAATCTCCCATGCTTCTGCACATTCACATCCGTCTCTGTAACAACCATCCAATAATATGTCTTCTCTCTCTCTGCTTCGCCTTAAACTTTCTAACAGCTCTCTGCCGCCCCCTGGTGCTCAGTCAGATAACAACACTACCAGATCGTAAAAGTGACGTCAGCTGATAGCCCTTTACGGTGCTGCTGGGCTGGCCTGTGAGAGCCGGGGCACCTTGTGGTTTTTTTTAAGGAAAGGGTTTTTTTTAAAGGTGGCTGGGGGTTGCCCTACATTCTGAGCTTGGAGCCCAAACGGCGCCAAAAAAGCCCCGCCTCTAACAGGCCGCCTTGGGGAAACACACACCTCAGTGTTCGGAAGCTACGCTGCTTCCTACATAGGACCAAAGTCTCAGTTTAAACTTAAAGCAAGAAGAAGTGACGAGTGATGAATGCTGGACATAAATGCACCAAAAATTAAATGTAAATCCAGGGGACTCTACGTTTTCTCGCCTTTAAGGTGGTCCAAGGTCACGGCAGTCATCACCACAGGTGTGGTCGGGTCAGAAACTACACTTTCCGTCTATAGGCTCGACTAACGGAGCTAAACTAGTGAGATTATGGCCACACAGAACATCAAAACACCCACTGACCATGTAGAGATGGAGTCCTTGTTAAAGGTTGTGTCGTTTGGTTCTTTCTTTGGTGCCGTTCCGTTACAAAACCCGGCCCACGCAGCTCTCCTTTCAGTGTGTGTGTGTGTGTGTGTGTGTGTGTGTGTGTGTGTGTGTGTGTGCTTTGGTCAATCCATGCAGAGGAGCTGGGCGCTGCAAGGGAAGTTTTTCTGCAGCCGTCCCAGAGAGAGGTCAGCTCGGTCACCTCCCCCCGGTCTGGTTTTGGTTTGGGTCGGACGTGATTGTCAAGTTAGAGACCGCAGAGGGTCGACTACGGTAGAACCGCATGCATGCAGTGGAGCTACAGACCGATGATGATGATGTTGCACCTACGGCTCTACATATCCGTCTATTTCACGGCTATTATAAGCTACTACTCAGACTAGAATGCCCTAAAATCACACTCACATGCAAACACGTGCTACTTCTACGCTAGGTTTATGCAGCAGATTGTCTTTACAATGCGGTGACACGACAGGTTAAAGCTGCATTCAGCAATGTGGATCCAAATCATTCAGATCTTAATAATGTTTTCCTTTTTTTTTTGTTCTATTAGTTTTTGTAGTTACCAGCCTGGTCTGTCACATGCTCCATTTGCTTCCTGCAACTGGTCCAAATAAAAGTTTTGGTTTTCTTTCACCTCTTCAGAGGCAAAAAGGAGCTTTAACAGCAAACATGCAAAATGAAATGTCAAACGACGCAGCTCATTCCAAAGCGAATTAAACGATCGTGTTGTGAGATAGCTCATGCTAAAGTTCACTAATGGTCACACCTACATGCAGATGCTGTTTCAATGGCTTTAATCACTCGTTATTATTTATATTTGCTCTCATTTCAGTAGCAAATAACCCAAACAGCTGATATAAATATTTCAAATGTAGAATTTTTATTTAGTTTAATTTGATTAGCTTATTAAATTTTGCAAGTGTGCAAAAGCAGACTGGTTTAGTTCTTTCGATGGACAAACGTGAGATGACAACTTAGCCACTAGGGGGCGCTACATGCAAAAAGTTGATCGTAAAAATACAAAAATGCCTAAACACATTCACATGCGCGTGCACACACACACACACACACACACACACACACACACACACACACACACACACACACACACACACACACATGACACGAGCACTAGCCATTCATAAATTCTAGCTTCATAAACCATCGCACGGCTCCAGATTGTCTTCATCCGCAAAGTCAGGATAATCAAACGACTTCAGATGTTTCTACTCATCTTTCTCAGTACTGTGGGAACAACTTCCTGCTTCCTGTTGGTGCAGAGATGTGATGTCAGAGCGACTGACTGGAGTTTGATTTCCTGTTTTCAGATAAATCTCCATCAGCTGATTTTTCCCGACAGAACAGATCCAGGTTTGGTAACGGTTGGTTTATCATGAAATCTGAGTGGAGCTTTAAACCGGCGTGTTGTGCTCTAACTACCCTCTAAAAGAACTAGATCACCTCTTCTAGGCGCTACAGGTGCACTCGGCTACGACGAGACTCTGTAATGTTGTCTGCCCGACTCTGAACACACCTTCTCTCGTGGTCGCCCGGCCCTTCACGACAAACCTCACAGAGAGAGACACTTAAGACTTCCTACAACAAACACACACTCCTGTCCAGAGACACATGCATAACATTTGATCTGTTTTCCTTGTTTTTTCCCTACGCGGCACCCCCTAAAAGTCCAGCTTTCCTGGTTGCGTCTGACCCTCAGAGCAAACGAAACAGCAGCTTTGCGTGAGATGTTGCAGATTTTTCAGAGTTAGGCTAACTGTTTTAGAAACGGTTTGTGTGTATGAGAGTGTGTTTTGGGAAAGGGGGGTGGGGCGTGGAATGAAGAGGGATGCAGGCAATAATGAGGAACATTTAGCAAACACAGGAATGACACCTGGAGAAGAAAACCAGCTGGTTAAGGTTGGTTTATGCTTGACGCGTCCGCGAGGTCCGCGCGGCAAAATTGCGTCATTTTAACAACCACGCCCCTCCACCGCGCCTCCGCACGGCCCAAACTTTCCGCACCGCGCACCTCGGAAAATTTCCAAACACGCGGACGGTCGAACGCGGAAAAACATGGCGTACTGGCAAGAACTAGTATGGCAGAGGTTGGTAAATACAGACATTTGTATGATTCAGCTCTCAGAGATCACCGTGATCAACATGTTGTTAATAATTCTTGGAGAGAAATAGCTCGCACTGTCGGAAAAGACGAGGACGCTGTTAAAAACGCTGGAATGCCATGTTGTAAACAGTCATTTCTACTTCTACTATGGTGTAGTGTTGGATGCATGCCGTAGAGCTCCATGCTGCCCCCTACAGTTTGGGAGAATATTGGCTCACCGCAGAGACGAGCCGCATGAACCATAAACGCTGCGAGTTGTGAAGCGCGTTCCATCCGCGAGCCGCATCACCAAGCGGAAAGTGAACGCGTCAAGCATAAACCAAGCTTTAGCTGCGGGGCAAAATGAGAGTGCAGGCGGGGGTCGAAAGGTCTGCCGGGCGTGTAACATTACGGATGGTACTTTACAGCGAAAGCAGAACGATAAAAGGATGTGGAGGATAAACACGAAGACAGAAAGACCTCGTTATCAGGCCAATTTTTTTGTTTCTTCCACCTCGTTTTTCTGTTTCCCGTTTTCTCCCCTCACCCCCTTCATCCCGCCCCCTTTCAGTGACTCTTCAGCACGACACCTCCATGGTTTGGGTGACCGCTCCGACTCCCTCGGTGCTGTCAGAGTTGGTGCAGGCCCGGGAGCGGGACCCCTCCCCAGAGCCGGCGCTGGTCAGGGAGGCCGTCCTGGAGCGGGCCAGGCGGGTCATACTGGCCGAGGGCACTGGGCGGAAAAAAACAACAAAAACAAACACAAAAGAAAATAGGAAGGATTAGGGATTACAATTTACAGGAATATACATGTAATCTGTTGATGTTGGGGGAATGTAGGGAGATCATGCTAATGTGGAGAACTTAAGATTATATTTTGTAGGGTGGGGGAAAAGGCAGCTGATAGGTTCACAGTAATCAGGGATTTAAGTAAAATGGCTAACATGTCGACACACAGACACACCGCTGGCACGCAGGGCTTCACGTTAAGCTCTCTTATAAACAGAGACAAGATTATTAGGAAGAGCCTGACTGGGCCAGCTTGACTCGGTGGTTTAATCTAAACTAATTAGATTCTTCAAACGCCTTCGGTCTCTCAGCACACCCAGAGGACAACATTTCATGATCATTCTGGCAAAACTATGAAGAAACCCAGCCATTAGTGCTACGTTAGCTAGCGCTGCAGCTAATTTCTGCTGTAAATACCAACAAAATAAATGTGATGTAAAAATTAAAAGCTTTTAGAATAAAATTTGGACTAAAACATATTTTACATTTGTTTTGAAATGCAATAATCACGCAGACTAGCTGTTAGCTCATTAGTGCAGTCACAACTTCTCTGTTTCTTTAAACTGAGGTTGTTCAAAGAGCTATCACCAACAGGAAAAATATCAGTTGTTCGTGTATTTTCCTCAGAGACACAATTAATTCCTAAACAATATTCATTTCAAGGGCCTTTAGGGGAAGAATCTTTAACAGATCTGGAACAAAACCCCGACATGAGAGCGTTGGATCTCAGTGAGGCGTTGCTTCATGAGGATCATTTCATATATTTTTGGTAAAAATTTTGGGCTTTGTCATGATCGTGGTCCATGGGACTTTGCTCAAAGCTAGCATGACGCCACGCCAAGAGCATTGTTGGTGATGTGATGGAGCGGGGATGGGGAGGAGGAGGAGTGAGGGCAGTATATTTTTCCGTCGAAGGAAAAATTGATAAAACAACGATGGGGTTTAATGCTCTCGGGATAAAAAGAAACAGAAATGAGGAAAAAAGGAAACCAAAAACAGAAAATCACAGCCCAGACGTACTGTTCAGAACCCAAGAAATGAACCAACAGAAAATTAAAAAATGCCATCGGACGGGGCAGCAGTAAGAGTTCAGAGCTGAATGGGGAGGAGGAAGTACCTGGCCCTCCACTCAGCCTCCGATCCTTCACATAAGCGACTGAAAGAACGGGGCAAGGAGAACAGAGGCCAAGATTAACACAGCTCACGTCCCTCTGCATCAAACACATCACTCAAAGTCATCCTGCAGCTAGCTAAACTCCTGATGAAACAACTCATCCCTAGAAACGCTACCAGAAACATCCATGATGCCGTCATGAACGCCGGCTGATACTTACTGTAGCCCATTCCCTGCAGGAAATACTTGAAGGCTTCAGTCAGCTTTCCAGGCTGGAAGACAACAGGAATGCTGCGTTCACTGACCTGTAGGATTTTTGGGACTTTTCTGCTGATCGTGTGTGAAGAGTTACCTGTGTGAGCTGGGGGAGTCCTCCAGAGTCGGCCATCTGCCACAAGAGTACACCAACAACAAAAACTTATTGTATTCATATTTGTTAGAAGAAGTGATTTTAATATCTAACTGTCATGGTCTGCGTCAGCCCCCTTCCTTTACGTGCCTCCTGGTGTCCTCCATCCCTCTCTAGATTCCCTCTTGTGTCCCTTTGTTCCCCAGCTCCTCTTGTGCTCTCTTAGCGCCCTCATGTGTCCTTGTCTGCATCCCTGTTATGTGTCTTATGTTGTAGCCCTTTGGCGCCCTCTTGTGTCATTTTTCGGTGTGTCAGTTTAGTGTCTGATATCTTTTACTGTTTCCTCCCATGTCAGCTCCAGCCTCATTGTCCCCAGCTCAGTGTGTGTATGTACTATGTCCTCCTCCAGCTAGTTTGTGTGGGTCCTTCTCTCTGTCTTTAGGAAATTGTTGTTTAGTTTTGTGTTAAGGTATTTGCCATCCTCTGTTTCTGTTTTCCCCATTGAGTTGATTAGTGTCACCTGCCTTCCCTCCAGCAGCTCACCCCACACACCTGCTTCCTGTTTCCCTGATTGCTCCTCCCAGTGTATTTAAGCCCTGTCTGTCTCTGTGCTCTTGTCGGTCCATTAATGCTTGTTTGTTGTTCTTGTCAGGCTTGTTCCAGTGTCTCTAGTCCTCTAGTGTTTTTATTGCTCAGTTAAGATTTTTGGGTTTTGGCTCCCTGCCTTTGGACTACTCCTAAATAAAGGATTTATTTTCATCATCTACCTCCTTCCTGGTTCATCTGGTTTTCTGCATTTTGGGTCCTAAACATCCTACTACACCAAATCCTGACACTAACAAGTAACCAAAAAAACCTCTTTGTGTCCATGATCGTGCTGTTTTTAACCCTCCCATTGTCCCGTGGGGCGACTCCTTCAGGAAAGGTGACCACTGAGCAGGGTTGATGGTTTATCCCTTGAGGTCCATGTGGGAGAGTTAAATCAAACCATTTCATTAAACTGATGGTAGATTTATTTCTTATAGAAAGATACTTGAATTTTAAAGCTGTTTTTATACTTTTAACTTCTTATTAGGTTTGATTTTCTGCTGTTATTTGTTTCCACTTCCAACTTATTTCTAATCATTTTGAGCATCTTCACTGAGTGGCTCATGGACCAGAGGTCTTTGTCGCAGATTCACAGAAGGTTTAAGTTTCATATCTATTTCACATTGTTAGAAGTTATTAAATTACTTGGAAACAGAGAGTATATGTTTGACTCTAGTTTCCGTGCTCTCTTTAGGACTCTGTTACCTTTAAAAAGGTGGTGTTGGTGGGATCCAGTTTGGAGTTGCACTCAACCTGAAAGATAAAATCAAAACCAGCAGAAATTATTAGATGATTTACAATAAAAACCATCCACTCATTCATTTTTGTCCGTTTATCCAGAGTCGGGTCGCGGGGGCAGCAGCCTCAGTCGAGAGGCCCAGACTTCCGTCTCTCCAGCCACTTGGGCCAGCTCCTCCGGGGGAATCCCAAGGCGTTCCCTGGCCAGGTGAGAGACATAGTCCCTTCACCGTGTCCTGGGTCTACCTTTAGGTCTCCTCCCGGTTGGACGTGCCCGGAAAACCTCACCAGGGAGGCATCCAGGAGGCATCCTGACCAGATGCTCGAGCCACCTCAACTGGCTCATCTCCATGTGGAGGAGCAGCGGGTCTACTCCGAGCCCCTCCCAGATGACCGAGCTTCTAACCCTATAGAGCCCAGACACCCTGCAGAGAAAACTCATTTCGGCTGCTTGCACTCACGATCTCGTTCTCTCGGTCATTACCCAAAGCTCGTGACCATGGGTGAGGGTAGGAACGTAGGTTGACCGGTAAATAGAGAGCTTTATGACCGGAGCTTGGTCGTAAGTCGGGTTCATTCCCATTCTCAGAGTTGGTTGGACTCCGCCAAGGCTGCCCTTTATCACCAATTCTGTTCATAACTTTTATGGACAGGATTTCTATTCACAGCCAAGGTGTGGAGGGGAGCCATTTTGGTGGCCTAAGGATCAGGTCTCTGATTTTTGCAGATGATGTGGTCCTGTTGGCTTCATCAGAACGTGATCTCCGGCTCTCAGCCGAGTGTGGCGCAGCAGGGGTGAGAGTCAGCTCCTCTAAATCAGAGACCATGGTCTGGAGTGGGAAAAGGGTAGAGCGCCTCCTCCGGGTCAGGGAGGAGGTCCTGCCCCAAGCGGAGAAGTTCCGGTATCGTGGGGTTTTGTTCACAATAAAACACTTTGCACTCAATCTCCTCTGGTTGTTACATCAGGCAGTCGAACATGAGCCAATAACATGTGATCACGTGCAAAAATCATGATTTATGTACCGACTTTTTGTTAAAAGGCAGATGGACACCCGACATAAACCTTAAAGAGAAGAATTCAGCCTCCAGTTCTGGGTTTATTCACACCAGGTTTAGCATTTCTGACTCAATCTCTGTCTCTATTCCTGCTGAAATCACGCCTCCAGCATCTGGCTGAATCCTTGTGTGCTCTCAGCCTTCCTGAGCAGCTTTTCTGTTGGTCCCGAGATCTTTTTCTTACTTGATCTCCAATGAAAAACATTTTTTGCAAATATTTCAGGGTTAAGCATTGAACAATTGCGTGAAAAAACACTTGGAATAGACATAAACTCCTCATACAGATGCAGATAGTCAACAGTTAATGCAGCGCCTGCATGCATGATGTTTATATGCAGAATCTGTGCCCATGTGACTGACCCAGATTATGCAGTGTGCTGCAGAGATGAGTCAGTCCAGATGGCTGACACGCACACACACACACACACACACACACACACACACACACACACACACACACACACACACACACACACACACACGCACTCAAATTAGACAGATGTGCACAGATAGTCACTCATAGCGCATGACAGCTCATTTCTCTCTGATGCCTTTCATCCTGCTGGTTGCTGAATTTTGCAGGCTGCGGCCCAAACCCCGAAAGCAAACACGACCTGAACCTGACAGCTCTTGTAATCAAAAGCTTTATGTGCAAATTAGACTAATTTATTACAAAAATGAGTTATAAACAGGCAGAGGAATTAAAGGAGGAGTCAAAAATCATTACATCTGACTTGAAAATGACTCTGCAGAACGAGAGGTGGCATTTGGTCCAAAGGCGGCAGGTCCTGCAGCTCATATCATCAAATGTAACACGTTAGCATGACCTCCATCTGTCATGTTCAATAAAACATCTATGCGCTTTGCTTGCCCCCTCCCCTTCGTCTCTGCAGGAGGTTTTATAACAACACATCGCATGTCCGCTGCCTACATCTGACAGGGGCCCATTTGATTCAAATCTGAGCAAAAAGCTGATTTTCTGGTGCAGAAGTGAAAATATCTGGGCCGCTTGAAAGCAGGAAGCCCTGGAGACATGTCAAGGCCATCCACCCCCCGGAAAAACACACAACTACTCACACAGGAAGGGTTACGCGAGGACAGGACCAGGTCTGACCTGTTTATGTTTACCTGAGGTCCTCCATCTGCTGAGAGGTTTAAACCCTTGGTTTAGTTTCGCGGCTCCGCCGCATCTTTCTGCTCACACTCGTCGCATTTGACCGCATCAGAACAAATCTACGCCTTTTCTCTTGCATCTTATTGGGGCAGCAATGGCTCAGGAGGAGCGGCTCATCCAGTGATCGGATGGTTTCTGGCCAAGTGCCTGCTCCTTGTGTCTCTTTGGGTTTTGTCTCTTCCACGACCCAAAAACAGGATTGTTAATCTGGATTATAAAACTGATTTTATCCCGTGTCTCCATGATGGACTGCTTCTGATCTGATGTTGATGTGAATACAAAATAAGATTGTCTTGTGTTTTGTGAAAGGTGTTTGAAGAGAAAATTATTCTTTTTTTTTTATTCTTAAACCAAAAATATCAAATTCTTCTGCCAAATTTCATGGTTCTCGACCGGAAAAGGGTGGCTTGCCAACTCCGGGTCGGGGAGAGGTCCTACCTCAAGTGGAGGAGTTTAAGTATCTCGCGGTCTTGTTCACGAGCAGTAGCGGTTTTAGGCACGGGCAGACAGGGCAGTTGCCCGGGGCGGCATTTTTTCATGACACAAAAGGGGCGCACAAGCGCGGAGTAAAAAAAAAGGGAAATCTGCGCCGCACCGAGGTTTTCTATTATCTGTCGTATGACAGTGTCTGGATTGGAAACAGCAAGTTGGCGCCCCCTGCAGTTGCAGGCGCTCCTGCTGACTGAGAACGTTCACATGCTCCGTGTGTCTATGAAGAACAGGAAGGGGAGGGGTGCGGCGGGGGAATTCACCTCTGCGTCTTTCCCAAATGAAATGAGCGTGCAGGGGCTGAATCAACTGTATTAACATGGCTAAGGTCAATCACATCTTAACGTTCTTCCATATTTCATTCATAATATCATAAACACAGGCCTATCATTCTTTCAGGTTTCTCTGAATTGTGTGAAATGGCCGAATAAAAAAAGGAAAAACAAAACGATTTTGTGGTCACCCCACCCCCCCCCCCCCCCCCCCATCAAGGTCAAATAGTTTAGTCCTGACTAAAGGAAACTTATTGAGTCAGGAGCCAAACAGAAGAGATGAACATAAAAAGGCTAAAACCACCAGGTGCCCCCATTCAGGGGGAAAAAAAGAAAAAAGAGCAGAAAGATAAAGGTATGTAGCTCTCATGATGCATGTTTTCAATTTTTTGAACCAGTTAACTGGGATTTTAACGGTTAAATGCGGTCAACTAATTGCTAACAGAGCTAATAGGGCTGAAATATTTAAACGAATATTCAAATGGTTTGAAAAAAGTCCTTGAATGGTTTTTTACTGATTCAAACTAGGATTTGTTAAATGCTCGCTGCAGCCTGTGGCCTGCCTGAACAACAACAAACACATGTTGATCAAGTTCACATAATAATAAATAAAACAACTGTACAAGCAGAAGAAAACTCCCCAGTCACCACTAACTATCCTGTTTATTTATTGCAGATGGCTGCACTGATTATTTTTTACATGATTTGTTCTGTAAAAGTTGGCATTTTTGGTAGTCTACAGTTTTTTATGTCAGTTTAAATTACAATTTCAGAGGCAATTCTAAAATATTATGGATCATGAGATCTATTGGACATCTATCCCAACTTTTGGACTGCTCTGCCAGTCACTGTGGCTCAAGCTGAGAGGAGCTTTTCAAAACTTGATCAAGTCATACCTGAGGTCAGCTATGTTTCAGGGGCGGCTCACTAACCTGGCTCTGATTAGTATCAATCACTCAGTAGGGGAGCAGATTTCATGTGATGACATTATTGATGATGTTGCATCAAGGTTAGGTTTTAATTTTAGTTTGTGTTTTCTATTCTAAGTGCAATGCTGTAGTGATTATCTTTAGTTTGTTATGTGTGAAATATTTTTGCTATTTAGAATATTTATTATCTATTATGTTCATATATTCTTAATATTTAGTTATTGTTTGTTTTTGTATATTTGATTCTATATATTTTGATACAGTATATAATGTATAGTGCTTTACATTCTGACAACTTCATAGTAATTAATGTAAATATGTGCAACTTAGAAAATGAATGTTCAATAGTCCTTCTAATAAAACATGCCTGTTTGTAGAAAACATGCGTGTGTTCATGCAGGTGGGGTGGTGTGGTGGTGGTGGTGGTGGTGGGGGGGGGGGGGGCGGGGGCGCTCAAAGGGGGCCTCGCCCGGGGAGTAATTCGATGTAGAACCGCCACTGTTCACGAGTGAGGGTAGGAGGGATCGGGAGATCGACGGGCGGATTGGTTCGGCGTCTGCAGTGATGCGGACGCTGAGCCGATCTGTCGTGGTGAAGAGGGAGCTGAGCCAGAAAGCCAGGCTCTCGATTTACCGGTCGATCTACGTCCCAATCCTCACCTATGGTCATGAGCTTTGGGTAATGACCGAAAGAACGAGATCGTGGATGCAAGCGGCCGAAATGAGTTTCCTCCGTAGGGTGGCCGGGCTCAGCCTTAGAGATAGGGCGAGGAGCTCGGACATTCGGGAGGGACTCGGAGTAGAACCGCTGCTCCTCCGGATCAAAAGGAGTCAGTTGAGGTGGTTTGGGCATCTGGTCAGGATGCCTCCTTGTTACGTGCCGTGCCCCTTTTCGGCCACAAGATGGCCTCAGTGGCTTCTGCCTCACCCGTCTCCTGGTGCTCAGCTGGATCAAATCATGGCTGATCACTTACCAGCTGTTAAAAGCTGCTTTCAGCCATCAGTTCTTTGAGAAGGTCCCGGATAGCGTGTACTGGCAACAGTGTCTCTTCTCCTCGGTTCGCTCTTTGGATAAACTCACTTGGATTAAGATTTTGGACTTGCATTTGTAGACTTCGGCACGTTTATGGACTTAGACCTCGGATCGCCCCTTTTGTATTTTTTTACTAATATTCTCGGTTGTTTATCCCCATCCCCTTCTGGGTTGGCGCTTTTCATTCCTCCCTTTTGTAAATAACTCCCCTTCGTTTTGTGTTTATTATTGTAAATATATCATTTTGAAATAAATCCTTTGTTTTTTAAGGGACACACCAATTTTATTACGTCTCTCCTCATCACTCCTAGAGAGCCGGGGACGTAATACTCCTGGACGCCTCCCTGGGGAGGTGTTTCGGGCATGTCCTGCCGGCAGGAGGCCCCCGGGTCGACCCAGGACACGTTGGAGAGGTTACATCTCCAATCTGGTCCGAGAACGCCTTGGGGTCCTGCCGGAGGAGCTGGTGGAGGTGGCCGGGGAGAAGACGGTCTGGAGCTCCCTAGTTGGGATGCTGCCCCCGTGACCCGGATAAGCGGAGGAAGACGACGACGATTTTACGACGAAAAATATCAAAGATGTGATGAAGTGTAACTCAAAGATTCGGTTCCATCATCCAAAGTGAGCCGACTTTCAAACACGATTAAAATCTGGGTGATGAAGACTTTACAACTGCAATTATTTCCTAATCTGTAATTTAAACCCTGACTGGTGACAGGTAAGCTGCAGGACTCACCACTCCCTCCTCAGCAGGTGCGTTGTCTCCGACAACCAGCATCACAGGACACCTGCGGAGGGTCACCAGAACAAACGGGTAAAACTCTGAACCTCGTGCTGTTTATGACTCTCTAGCTCTCTGAGGTCTTCGGCAACAATTCTGACTAAAAAAACTCACTTTAAGGTCTTGGCATTGAGAGCTGTCCCGCCGCGGTTCATCTCCAGATCCCTCCGACTGGAAAGAACAAAAAGAATAAAATACCTTTGATGTTCGAAGCCCAACAAGCCCGGACCGTGGCCATCGCTCACCTGTTGTACAGGTTCCAGAAAAGCTGCAGGTTGTAGTTGTTGATGGCGTTGTTGATCTGTTGTCTGTAGCTCTGAACCAGTTCTGAGTTGTTTACCAGTTCGTCCTGGACACACACACACACACACACGCGCGCGCGCGCACACACACACACACACACACACACACACACACACACACACACACACACACACACACACACACACACACACACACACACACACACACACACACACACACACACACACACACACACACACACACACACACACACACACACACACACACACACACACACACACACACACACACACACACACACACACACACACACACACACACACACACACACACACACACACACACTCTTTCAATAACCTAATTAAAAAGAACAGAAATGCTTTCCGGCCATTTTCTGACCCTCCAATCTGACCTGGCTGAAAAGATGAGGCAGCACAACGTCTGGGATGTTGCTGGTCAGACCTGACAGCTGGAGAGACGCCAGGAAGATGTTTTAATGATCATTTCTATTACAAAAATCTAAAACAAACACACTGATGATTCACGGTGACGCTGAGGCACCTTAGAGGCAGCCCAGTCAATCCATCCTTTGCCGTTTGGGTTGATGTTCAGCAGAACCAAACCCTCCACCAGGTCAGGGTGGATGAGCTGAGGGCAGAAAAATCACAATAAGACTTCCCTCTGCTGCACCGGATGTTGCATCCCAACATATCATAAGATGGTAGCAGCGAAGAGTTTATTAGGATTTTATCTGTTTTGTTTTTTAAACAAACGGTTGAATTCTGCTTTTAAAAGGGATCTTTTTAAATTGTATGTATGTTTTTATTCTGATCATGGCAACGTGAAGCTTCACGTAGATAAACCTAGTTGTAGGAAGCAGAAAAAATGTGAATTTCATTGTTTGCTTCACCAAATGAACACTTACAGCAAACTTAGCCAGAATGTAAGCTCCAGCTCCAACTCCGATCCCGACGACGCTCTTGAATCTGAAAAAATAAATAAACTAATCCATCTAATTTGATGTATTCTCAGTAAAGAATGTCTACACAGAGAGAAAATATGTTGTATATTCATTAAAGGCCTTTATGGGTAATTTCGTTTAAAGGCGGATGCACCGACCCAAAGTGCTGCACCACAGTGGGCAGCATGCCAGCCAGCTGGTCCATGGTGGGATACTGGAAGCTGTGGAAAGAAACACAAAACTGCATTCGAACAACGTCTGTTTGATTCCAACCATGACTGGCCGAAGCAGCACATAACTAATGATACGAGTTTCTGCATGAACAGTGCAAACGTGCATCCGTACCCTTGTGGAAACTGTGCAGCTCCGACCTGCTGCCCCGGAGCGTCAACGTGGCAAATCACAAAGTGCTTGGTGATCTCCTGCATGTCCTCGTTGTTGAAGAAAGGGTTGAAGCACAGCTTGTCTGGAGGGTGAGAGGGCAGACGACAGGGAATAAACACAGGTCGGATGGGGGGGATGACAGCAGAGGAATGTGAACGCATGAAATATTCATCTAGGGGTGTCAAATATGCGGCCCGCGGGCCAGAGCTGGCCCGCAAGCGGGTTGAATCCGGCCCGCGAGATGGTTGTGTAAACTTTATTTTCATACTTTACAATGTAGAGTGAAAATAAATGTATCTTTGTGAGCAAGTTTTCTCTGTAATGAGTATAAATAAAACAAAGCTGAGCTCAAGGCTCACACAAGAACTTGAATCACATCCTGAAGTTGGCCGCCACTCAGGATGTGACTTCTGATATTGATGCACTGGTGAAGCTAAAAGATGTAAAGTAAAATGAGTCAAATATATTTTAAGTGCTGCATGAAACTGATCTAGCCATGTGATCTGTAAGCTCTTTGAATCACTAAGGAATGTTTATTTTATTTGTTCATTTTTTTTATTTTTTTCAAATGTTCAAGTACACTTCAGGTGTTGTACTTGTACTACACTGTCCTCAGGCTCCAGCCTTGTTTTATATTGATTGTGTTAAAACAAAGAAAACAATCTGAAGTTGTTTTTAATTTACCGGTCCGGCCCACTTGGGACTAGATTTCCCTCGATGTGGCCCCTGAGCTGAAATGAGTTTGACACCCCTGATCTACACGGAAGATCCTGAAGGTGCCCATCTGCCGAGCTGATCCTGGACCAGTGAACAGGGTAGCACCTCCTGCTGATGCCTCTGACAGTCAGCCTTCACTCAGCTAAACCGAGAAACACTAACGGGTGATTAACTTAAACTAGTTTCCCTGATCTGACTTTGTCGGAGGCAGAATGAACGGCTTTATTTTCTGCGTTGATCTGATTTGAACGTCGCTGAGGACCACATCTAGATGCTGACCCGTCTCCGGAAGCTTTGTGGAAAACTCGGAACATTAAACTCTGAAAAAGCGTCCGCTCCACCCATCGGCGCTGCAGCTGGCCTGTTTTCCGAGTCGCTGAAGCCGGGCAGCAGCACACGTTGCTCCTCAGACTCATCAGACCAGCTAACACGACCACAGGTGGACGTTCAGGCTCAGGGCATCGGTGAGGTGAGAAGCGCTTCAGCGGGGACGCGCTGATTCATCGGTCCATGCTGCACTCCCACTGACTCCATGACCTACTTTATCCCTCTTTACTTTATTTATCTCTCTCTCTCTAAACTCTCCTCCTTTTCTCTCCTCCTCCGCAGTCGGATTTAAAACTTCCGCTTCATTGTCGGTAATTCCTCCTACATGACTTCTCTTCTGCTTTCTCACTACTAATCCCTTTGGTCAGGGTCTGTTTTTCCCACCCTTCTTCTCCTCTCTGCTCCGGCGTTCCTGCAGCACGCGGCTCCATCTGCTCATCAGGAGTCACTTCAAAGGAGGAATTCACTTCCAGAAACATCTAATTGTGTTCATGTTGCAACAACACTCCACTTCTACTCCTCCTTCCTGTGTGCTCTTACTTTCCCACCACGTATTTCTGTTTTCTTCTGTTTTCGTCTCAGATGATGACGATGACGTTGAAAAAGAGCAACAACATGCAGATATCTGCAGTCAAGCCAGCAGTCCTCCCCCACCCGTCCAGGCAGCGCCGCAGTGCTGCTGGCTGGCCCCGCCCACCTCTTTCTGCAGGATGGGGATGTTTATCTGACCCACATTTCATCCGCGCTCCTCTCACTCACCATCCCAGCTCCTCTTTTCTATTTTTGTCCCGTTTAAAGACAAATCTTCTCTCAAGGACTTTAGTTTTTCCTGTGGGTCGCTCCGTTCTTCACCTACTCGTGTGTTTTGCCTAATCATGGACTCTGGGCGTATGAACGCTGGCATGTTGGGCACATGAAAGTGACACGAATGCGGTGACAGCTGTCATCCCTCTGCACATTAAAGTCATGAAATCTATTTCAGGATGCTGAAATCATCGTTTCCTCAGAAATGACACATAAACCTGTCAGAGTAGGTCTTCGGTTCATTTTTCAGCTCAAACCAACATCCGACAGATGCGATTACCCTGTTTTATTTGTTGCTAGGCAACCTAAGCTTAACTCTGACAGTTTACAGGTTTTAGAGTGTTTAGGGCACCTTTTTTCCCTTTTTTAATGGCTTGAAATGAAACACTTGGATCAATTAGCCACATCGTTTACGCTTATGACTTTAGCTAACAGCGGATTATGGCATTAAATGTTGTATTGTAGCTATAATAATCAATTGTTTCTGGTAATATTTTATATGTTTGCTGTAAAATAGCTAAATCTAACCATAAGAAACAATTATAATCTTATAAATCTTGCTTTAATTAAGGTTCTGTCCTCCTTAAGGATTGTGGCGTTCTGCTAATCATCACCTCTGATGGAAGCAGGACTTGTAACACCTGTCGACACAAATACTCACGGTTCAGCCCCACATCGTGGTAGGTGAGGATGGCAGGCTTGTTTCCTTTGGGCGCTCCTCGGATCACCACGTGCAGCATCCCATAAGGAGTCTCCACATCATGATCCTGTGAAACACAAACGCACGAAAACCCTCAAACGGTGGTTCACACAGCTGACACGCACATCCTGGGAGTTTCCCTTCCATCCCAAGTGTTTTGTCTTTAAAGGCAGCGGCTCCATTTGATCCTCATTGATCTTTCATTGATTAACTGCTGGATCTCTGCTGGAATAGAAGGAATAATTAGCATAACAGAGCAGATCCCACCTAACGAGGCATGGATTGCGTCATAACAATCAATACTTTTAAATAAGTTATTAGCAAACGTGTTCAAAGGTGACGTCCGATAATAAAAGTGGAAGCGGATTCACGTCGTGTTAAAAATCCAGCTGTCGTTTCCCCAAATCATGAAAGATTCTTCATTTTATTAAATGTATGTTTTAAAAATACTTGTAAATTATAAGAATTGTTATAATGCATAAAACAAGAATTTATCATGATACAAAAATCTTTTACATATTTTAATAATCTGCAGGAATTTGGAAAAAACACGGTAAAATGTGGGAAAAGTACAAAAATAAAGCTTAAAAACAAACAAAAAAAAGATTGTTTTTCATTTCATTTCTACCCTAAATATGAAAAATGTGCATAAGGTTAAGAATTCAAATGAATTCAAATGAATCTCAGGCACAAGCTGCATGTGTGAAATAAATATTTTGCATTTAATTGAACACTTTTGATGTCAACAGTCAGCTTGTGACAGAACACACTTCTGCAGACTTGCATTTATATTTAATATAATTTCTAACAAAAATATATCAACTTCATGGTTTACTTACACATGTTGTCGCCAAAAACATTTGAGGTGTTCTGTTGTGTTTTTATGTAAATCACTGTCTCAGGCAGATAGTCTCAGCAGTTGGCTGCTGCAGAATCAATGCTGATAATTATAAAATCTCCCTTCGTTAACACTTTCTACAACTCAAGAATGCAATTAATAGCATGTAATAAAAATCAAAGGTTTAGTGCTCTAATCATGTCAGCTGAAAACAAACATTTCTGGAACGATCGCACAGAAAGATCAAGTTTTTAATCTGCAGCCGCTGCAAAAAGGTGCAGAAGAAATCAGTCATGCATCCAAACAGATCATGTTTGACCCACATTTTGTCAGCGTCTGCTGGTCGCAGTGAGCCAAACTCAAAATGGAGGTACGGCACACACACAAGCACACACACACACACACACACACACACACACACACACACACACACACACACACGCGCACACGCACACGCACACAGTCAAACAGCTGAGTGAAAAAAATCCTGTCATCTTTAAACAGCCACTAAATCTCTTCTTCTAGGTCACTCACACAACAAGAAACACATAGCAGGTTTGGATCCAGCAGGCTGACAAAAATCTTCTATAATCCCCTCTAGCAGACACTCACACAGCCAACAGTTACGTGTTAATCTGGACAGATTATCTCACTATTAATTCAGCTTTAACACCAGTTTTATCTCCAATCAGCTTTCTAATTTCAGGCAGTTCTGCATCAGAGGCTTTGTTTTCCAGTTTGTTCTAATGACACACACACACACACACACACACACACACACACACACACACACACACACACACACACACACACACACACACACACACACACACACACAAATACCCACAAACATACACATAAGTACAAAAAACAAACACATACACACACCTATGCACATGCACTCACACATAAACACTATCACGAACACGCACACACACACGCACGCACACACACACACACACACACACACGCACACACACACACACACACACACACACACACACACACACACACACACACACACACACACACACACAAAAGCATCATAACTTCCAGATGAAGAGCTCCCACACTATCTTTATAGAAAGTTTTCCCGATGCATCGTTTAGGATTTCCACGGCAGCGTCCCTTTTGGTAACCTTTATGCTGAAAGAGATGAGCCGAGGTTTTAGCTGCGTCACACTAAAAAGTTCAGACATGCAACACACAACTTCTGTTTGTTATCGAAAACTCAAATGAATTCAAAATCTTAAAAACATTTTTTTTTGCTAATTTTCCCTTGAGGTGGAATTTGCAGCCATCTGTGTTTCTGCACCAACGTGTGTCAGTGGGCCAGAGTCAAAGAGTGACCCATCAACAGGCCCAATCACTGCACTTTAACTAGTTATAAACGATCCACGTCATCACAAAGAAAACCTTAAACAGTATCTAAGACGTATCCCCAAACAGAGAAATGAGAAAACCCGAACACCCAGCTGCACTCACCCCATCCCAACACTCAGGCATGGCTGCTGTGTGTTTACTCTCAGCTGATGAAGAGGAGGAGAGCGCAGGCGAGCGGCCAGACCTCTCCGGTTTTAAGGGACTAGGTCCTGGTGAGCACTCGCTGCAGGATGGAGATCTAGACGGAGATGCTGCGGAGTCTTTGTCTGCTCCGCACTGCTGTCAACATCACTTTTACTCTGGGAGCAGAGGCCCCGCCTCCCTCCTCCTCTTCCTTCCCTCACCCATCCCTGCACCAGAGACAAGAGAGTGGGCAGCGCCGCTGATGATTGGCCCAGAGGGCAGCCTCCCCCCTCTGTGATTGGTCAGCTGTCCCGTAACACTAAAAGCTCTCATCAGCACCACTGCTCTATTTTCGAGGTGTTGTTGTTTACATCCTTTCCTCAGCGACCTTGTTTTCTTCATCACTTTTGATGAAGACAGTTTGTTAGGAATAAGGAAAACTATTTTCATACAGGATATCAAACAAACCCATTATGGTTAATTATCAAACTTCTTTGCAAAATCCTGAAAAAATGATTTGTGGAAGTCAAATGAGGCATGTGTTTGTGTTTACGCTGTATTTGACCTATTTAGAGCGTTGCATGTGAAAAAATGCAATTTTGCTAATCTTGCAATTTCAGTAGTGCTTACTGCATAATGGTGTCTCCTCTGAACATGGAAGATGTATTCAGATGGATTCGCGTTACCCACACTGATAATGTGGTAACAAAAACGGATCACCAAAAGGTTTCTGTTCATTTGCATCCCTGGATGCTTTGACCTTGATGTGACCTTGATTGTATGATGATAAAGCTGTGATCCTGACCTGAAACAACACAAACCTTAGGATGCTGCGTGACATTTGGACATCAAATGAACACATCTGAGGTGAATGAAAAGCACAATAATAATGTTGAGAGTACGAAGCCCACGTGCACGCTCACGTGGCTTCTATGGTGAGCTTGCTGCAGACTCCCCCCTCCCTCCCCGCCTCAGCAGGCTCTTCGGAGTACGTCTACACCTCCATCTCTCCTCTTTTTCATCCCAGCCATTCCCTTTGCTTCCTGCTGACAGAAAGCTCAGCACCTTCCTCTTCCTCTCTGACTGTTTCCCCCTTTCCCCTACATGGGAGGATAACGCCCTCCCTGCTGACTCTGTGTCACCCCGTCAGCTCTGAACTTACGTTCTGTGTCAGCGAGCAACGATGTGCACGAGGGAATCTGAAATGCAAACTGAATCCGTCTCCCTTTTGGAAGCGTTTAACACTAACCATTTACACGTTGGTTGTGTCTGCAGCGCCGGGACACGTGCGTTCACACCTGCAGACAATCCTCCTGGTTCATTTTCAGAAAATTCTGAGTAAAGTTTTTCCGTTACTGTTAAAAAACTAGAACACAAGAACATTCCTACAATCCCAAATCATCCTCCAGGGAATTTTCAGCCTGGCGAGCCATCCTGTGCACGTGAATACATGGTCTCACCGAAGAAAGAGCTTGGTCACGGGGCGGAATAAACAGTTTTCTATCAAAATATATCTGGACAGGGCGACCAATCAGAGCAACGAATTGTGTTTTCATCACTACAAGAATAAGCGGGCTGTCCAAGAAGTCTAACTCCCAGCTTTAGTCCGTGAGGCAGGCACCTTGTCTACTTTTAAGAATAGGTTTAAAACATTTTTATTTGATAGGGCCTATGGTTAAAATCTGATGTTAGCCTAGATCTGGACAAGTGGGGGAGTAGAGGGAGGTGGAGTGTACAGTCGGTAAAGACGGCTCTCCCTTGCCCTGCCTCCAACATGCCTCCATCTAAAAAGGCTAGGTTATCCAGAGTTATCTCTGTAGTTATGCTGCTATAGGCTTAGACTGCTGGAGGATACACTGACCACTTTTCACACTCTACTGCTTTCTTCTACTATCTGCTCTTTAACTGTACTATTTTCTGCTATTTCAGCTGTTAACTTTATTTTCTCTGTAAGTGTTTTTCTCCCCAGAAGAAGCTACAATGATGTTCTGCTGAGCTGTGGTGGCCTCATGGAGGGGGCCATCGACTAGCACACTGCTGCTAACCACTTAAACATTCTCCCTCTCCTGATAATAACTTTTTACTCTCTTTGACGTTGGATGTGCTACTACTAGTTTACCCGTTTAATTATAGATCCACTAGGATAAATACAATAAAGTTTATCTCTCACCTAATAGAATATTTACTAAGAAATCACAATGTAACCATAGAAACACTACTTGGTATATGTTTTGTGTGTGTGTGTGTGTGTGTGTGTGTGTGTGTGTGTGTGTGTGTGTGTGTGTGTGTGTGTGTGTGTGTGTGTGCATGCGGCATGGCGGATGGCTGCTTATACTGAGCCAGGATCCTCTGGAGGTTTCTTCCTGTTAAAAGGGAGTTTTCCTCTCCACTGTCGCTGCGTGCTTGATTAGTATGAGGATTGCTGTAAAGTCACGGACACTAGTCAGCGACTTGATGCAACCTGCTGGGTTCCTTACATAGGAAACGTTTTAATGATTGGCTAAATGACTGAATTGTATTGAAACCTTTACTTTGTGAAGTGAGACGACGCTTGTCGTGATTTGGCGCTATATAAATAAACTTGAACTGAAATGAATTAATCCAAAAGTTGAAGCCAAAGCCATCTGAAATGACTACCAATCCTGAGCCAGCTCCATCTTTGTAGTTTTTTTCTGTCGTAGCTCCTGTGCCGACCCTGAGCCCGCCCAACATCCCTCTACAAA